CTGCTCCAGCCCCTCCAAATTCTGCATTTTGTGTCACCCCTGCCTCCTCTGCCCCGCCTGCAGCACTCATCCTTCCCCAGCCAGCAGATGGAAAATCAGGAGGGCTGGGAAACCCAAATTTGCTGCTTCATCCCAGCTGGGGATGAGGGATTTGGAGGCAAAGAGGCAAAAAAAATCTGCCTCGTATTTCTTGGAGCTGCCTCACAATCCCTGAGCACTSAGAAAGAGACCCCAGCCCTCCTTTCCCAGGGAGAGTCACTTCACCCCTCAGCACTTTTGCCTCAGGCACAGGGATTAAAGCAGAAAATTCAGATCTATCCCAAAAAGGCACCGGGGAGCTGATGTTGAGAGGCAAGAAATTAAAGAACTGCTTAGCTGAATAGCTGAGCTGGTATTTTTCTGTCCTCGGGAAACAACTTTGATATAATAGCATTAGTAATAATAACAGCCCCAAGAAAATCCTGGTGAAATCGTGTAGACTGCAGGATGTGTGAAATCCCCGGGACGGGGCGTGGGCATCCCTGGTGTCAGCAAAATCCTTCCTGRATGGGATGGAGACACTGCCACGAACCGGAGCAGCTCCTGGGAAATAATCCATCTTGATCAAAGAACCAAAATAGCAGAAAAAATCTGTTAGTAAAGGAAAYCGGCCAGAAAATGTTGAGACGTCGCAGCGTCACAAGCCGCTGCTCCTCTGACAGGGCCATGAGCTCCCAGTTTGAAGACTTTATTGTTATTCCTGCTCTCCAGAGGGATGGAAGGAGCAGGCAGCAGTGGGAAGGGTGAGAGGAGCCTGGGCATCGCCAGGCTGGCTGGGGCAGCGRGGATCCTCACCTCCAGGGTCCCTTGTTATTCTGCAAAATTCATCTTTTAAAATGAAATTACGGGTTCTGTCCCTTCCTTTGGGAAGGTGCAGCACATTCCTGATAAAGGAAGAGGAGAGGGCAGGGGCTGTGAGTGCCCTGGAGGGTTTGGGGGGCTGGAGAGGGGTGAGGGGGKCTCTSTRCCACCGAGGGTTTGGCAGGAGCTGRGTTTGGTGTCCKAGGAGGAACAGCGGGGCTGGGGGAATTGGGGACAGGCTGGAGCCGGCTGGGGCACGGTGAGCTCGTCCTCAAACCCCAACAGCAGCCCCGGCATCGCCCCCAGGCACAAACGGGTGAAGTGTGAGGGGCTGAGCCCCCCTGGCCGGGCCAGCTCACCACGGACACCCAAAAGCCTCCTCTGTCACCCCACGGCTCCCGTCCCTGCACCCTCAGCCCCTGTCCCTCCTGTCCCCAAAGCCACCACGCTCCTTGCACTCTCCCTGAGCTCACTGACGATGCCAAAATTGGGAAGGACAGAGCTGGGCTGGGGCGCTCACATTCCAAACCCCGGCACCCGTCAAAGATCCCGCTTTCGGCGGAGCCATCTCCACGGCAGGAAGCATTTGGGGTTTAATTCGGGTTGGCCTGTTCCACTCTCCCATCAGGAAATACCGAAGGTTCTCATCCCCTTTGGCATCTCCGATCTCATCCTAATCCCCGGTGTCCCCCAGCCCAGCCAGGAACCCCTGGAGGGACATTCGCTGCCTCCTTTCGCTGCTCCCGTGCCGAGTTCCACCCCAGCCAGTGTCCCGTGGGCAGGAGCATCCATCTGAAACTAAAAACCGGCGATTAGAGCTGCCAACYAGCCATTAAAAAAAGTGTTAAATGGAGAATTATCTCCCTCTTCCCGTTTCGATACAATGAGAGCTCCATAACGCGCTCGTTTAAAGTCGCCCGGTTTTAATTTCAGTCCCCGCGTTTCTAACAGGACGCGCAGAGCGATTTCGCTTCATCAATAGCTCCTGCGAGCTGGGGAAGAGTCGGAGAGGGGAATAAAGTCAATATCCTCGCGAATGAGACAAAGGAGGAAAAAATTAGCCCGCAGATGTGAGTTTCTCTTTGCCACTGATAACACAACTTCTCAATTTACTGGCCCAGATTGCCTGGCAAAGAGGAGCATTTTTCAAGAGGAGCAGAGATGAAAGGGATTATTACTGAGAGAGGCTCTTCTTTAAAGAGATAAAGAATTTGGCAATTAAAGCCCGAGGAGCCGCAGACTCCCGGGGAGGGCTGGAGCAGCCCCATTAGCATATTTTCCACTAACCTTTCCTTTTGGAGAAGATGATCCCGATCCCGCTGCCGCTGCCCGGGGTCSGGTGCGGGGCCGCGTCCTCCTGCAGCCGTGGGAGGGAGAACAGGAACAATCTCGGTCCCGGAGCAATCCCGGTCCCATTGGGGCTGAACGGGACCACAGGCGGGGAAAGGAAGGAATTGAGGTTTTTCACACCTTTCTGCGGGGAGGAGGGTCTGGCTGTCCCTGTCAGCTCCAGGTAACCTGCCCAGGGTCAGACTGGGAGCCCAGGGACTCTCTGGCTCTGGTGACCTTGAGCCGAGGCTGAATTTTCCCGAAAATCTGTCCCAAATTCAGCGGGAATGGCTGGGAGGGCAGAGATAAGGCAGATGGGGTTGGGGCAGTGAAGGGCAGCTGGGAGTAGCCACGAAAAMCCACTTCCACCAGGGACAGAGGGACCTGAGGCAGCACTGCCAGGGTCCCTGCATCCCAATGGGATCTCAGTGAGGTCCCTGGATCCTGCTGGGGTTGCTGGATCCTGCTGGAAGTCCCTGCATCCCGATGGAAGTCCCTGCATCCCAGTGGGGTCCCTGGATCCTGMTGGAAGTCTCTGGATCACAATGGGGTCCCTGCATCCGCTGGAAGTCCTCACWTCCCATTTGGATCGGGGACAATCTRTGCTCTCTGTGGCAGTGACAGGACCAGRGAAGGGCTGGAGCTGTGTCAGGGAGGGTTAGGATGGATCTCAGGGAAAGGTTTTTCCCCCAGAAGGTGCTGGGCACTGCCCAGGCTCCCCAGGGAATGGGCACAGCCCCGAGGCTGCCGGAGCTCCAGGAGCGTTCGGACAGCGCTGTCAGGGATGCCCAGGGTGGGATTTGGAGTATCTGTGCAGGGCCAGGGGCTGGACTGGATGATCCCAGGATATTCAGGATATTCCATATGAGGGTCCTGCTCCCACCCCAGTGCCACAAGGTGCCAGTGCCGCCTCCAGCCAGATCGGAGCTGAGCCCTTCTCACCATCAAACATTGTTTTTTTTTGTCTCGGTGTTTGTCAGCAGAAGGAGATAAGGCTGCTCCTCTTTACGGAGTCATTCCAAGGATTAATTAGCTGATGTTTCCTGAAGTGCTTTGAAGATGTGCCGTGCGAGATAAGCGCCGTGCTCCCGAGCCCACCGCGCACTGCGCTCATTTTGCTCATTTCTCTCCTCATTCCCAAAGTGTTCGCACACAAAACCAACCCCACCGGAGCTGCGGGGCCCTGGTTCAGCGGGGGACACCTCTGACCGTGTCCTCAGCGCAGGAAGGACTTGTGGAGTGTCCAGAGGAGCTGCCCCGAGGGCTGGACCCCTCCGGAGCCCGGCTGGGGATGCTCACCCGGAGAAGGGAATGCTCCAGGTGTGACAGGGACGTGCAGGACCTGCCCCAGGCCACACCACAGCCCCCGGTGCAGAATCATCGCTGCCCCATCAATCCCAACTCAAGCCGCAGAAATCATMGCCGTAATTGTTTTACCACCGCGAGATTTCTGAAAATTATATTTCTGCCGCCGCCGTTATTGATCTTGAAAAGGGCCATAAATTAACGTGACAGTTCACAGAGTCCTTCACACTTGGGTAATTTCTCTGCCTGACTTGCGCTGCGTGTTGAACTTTCAGCACCAGCCAATTACAGTCATTCAAAACGCGCATTTGAAGATTTTTTTTTTTTTCTTATGCAACGGGTTTGATTATAACACAGAGRAACTCGAGGCAAATGCCAAGTGTCCTCCAGGTCGCAGGGCGGCTCGGCTTGAGCTGGCATGGGGGGGATGCTGGACGGGCTTTAGGGTGGTGAGGGGTGGCATGACCACGCCACAGACCTGGGAGAGGGACAGAGAGACCCTCAAGTCCCTGGGAATGGGGATCCCCTTGGGGCTGGCACCTCCCTGGGGTGCCCAGGCAGCTGCTGGCCCCTCATCCCAAAGGGAGCCCAGCACTGGCACCAGCAGGATGCGACCCTCACCCAGCCAGCCCTGCCCAGGACTTCAGGTGCTCAGTGGTTGTCTCCAGAATTGACCTCTGACCCGAAAAAGGGATGCTCAGGGCACCGAAACACCTCCTAATCCACCCTCTGTGCTCTCAGGGTGCTGTGAGGGGAACAAATCACAGCAATCCTGGGTTTCGGGGGGGCCCAGGGACAGAAATGGGCCAAGCCTTGCCCCTGCAGGGTGTGGGGTGAGTGGGAACACAAGGGGACGGTCACTGGGGGCAGGAAGGACACGGCGTGGTGACAACGGGGGCTATCCTGTCAGGGAAATGAACCCACAAACACCACGGGTTTGTGTCCAAAATGGAGACAGAGAAGCCCTGTAATTTTATTTGAATAAAGGGAGAGGCCTCATTTGTGAATAAAGTTACGGGACTCCTCTGTCTCCTTTTAGGACATAAACATCTGGTGTTTGTGATTAATTTTCCTGACAGTCCCCAGCCCCCGACAGCTACCCCGAGGGGCTCCCAGCGCCTGTCCCGCCCTGCCCCAACCCCTCTGGGGCTCCTCAGTGCAGGAACTGGGACTGGAGGAAGAGGGAAGGGAACGGGGGAAACCGGGGCGTTACATAAGGAGGAGACTGCGCGGCTGCAGGGGGAGGTTGGCTGCTTCATTAGGAACAACCCCGGTAAATCAGCAACTTCTGGGGTCGGCACAGCACGGCACAGCTGGGGCACGGTCTGGCACGGCACGGCACGGCACGGAAATTACCCGTGCTCCTCCCGGATTAAGGGATTTTGCTGTTTGCTCACAATTTTGCTCATGTAAAACAAGCCAGCCCTGAGCAGCAGCCCGGCCAAAGCCTCAATCCCTGCCCTAAACCCTTCCCAAACCTTCACCCGAATCCCCCAAAATAAATCCCAGCCCTAAACCCCAGCCCAGCCCCTGTCCAGGCCCCTTCCCGGGGTCTGTCTGTGCTCTCTGCTCTGAGCCCTGCACGGACCCCCCACCCTCGGGAGGTGTTTTTTGGGGTGTCTCAGGGGCTCTGACACCCCACGCTCCCCCAGGCAGGTGGCCGCGCTTGGCTGCGAACTATTTATTCATTATGTCAGACAAGAAAACCTCATTAAATTAGTCCGGGACTCTGCAGGGCGCTGCCAGGCAGGGACACCCGGTGCCAGGGGGCGGCCGGGGCGCGGCTCCAGCATTTCCTCTTTTCACAGTGACGGGAGAAGGGGCAGAGACGCCGTCCCGCGGGCTGGGCTGGGCTGGGCTGGGCTTGGCCGGGCGGCGCCGGGGTCCCCCATCAGACCTCCAGCTTCTTCTTCATCTCCATGCGGTAAATGATCTGGTAGCCGTCATCCCAGGCGTAGATCTGCCTCTCGCGGGGGCTGTACTTGAGGCTGGAGTGGGAGCCGTAGCGCTTGGGGAAGTAGACGAGGGACGCGTCCTCGGGGGCCAGGGTGCCGCTGACATCGAAGACGCACTGGACGCGGGCKCGGCTGGGCAGGCGGGTGTTGTACACAACGTGCAGCGCCCCGCACACCACGAAAGCACCCTCGGCGTTCTCCCGCGGGCACGGCGTGTCCCACATCTGCTCGATGTCCAGCGAGCCGGGGTCCAGCTTGGCCAGGCACATGTTCTTCTCGTCCTCYTTGGTGGCGTAGATGGCCCAGAGCCCCTCCTCGTCCGCCGACACCTCGATGTAGGTGGAGGGCGAGAGGCCGAAGACGGGGATCTGCTCCTCGGCCGGGAACACCGAGCTGTCCACCACCGTCTTGTTGGCCAGGTTGAACTTGATCACCTGGAAGGAGGGGCCCTGCTGGCGGATGTAGTAGAGGTGGCCGTCGTAGACGAGGTGCCCGGTGCCCACCCAGGGGTAGGGCAGCTTGATGCGGGCGGCCTTGCGGGTGGAGGAGAAGAGCGTGAACTCTCGCATGCGGGGGAACACGTAGACGGTGTCGTTGGCGGTGCCGTCGAACACGTAGATCTTCTCCGAGCTGCCCGCAGCGTCCTTGGTCCAGAGCCCCGAGGCGCTGCCGAAACGCTTCAGGATCTTCATGGCCCTGACGCTGGCGATGGTGTCGCTGCAGTCTGCGAGAGAGGGGCAGGGTCAGAGCCTGGAACTTCCCCTGAAAGGACTCTGCTGCTGGCCCACGCTGGGTCCCCGCTGTCCCAACCCAGCCCTCAGGCAGCTGCCCCRAAAACGCAGTGAAGAGGGTTAAGAGCATCCCTGGTGACACTGAGAAATCACCTTGTGTACCCACACCGCGGGCAGGGGAGACCCCCTCACCCAGCCCTGCATAGAGGCTTTGGAGAAGCACAGGGCTCCAGCCTGGGGCTTGGAGGGAGCTCCCAGGCTGGGGATGTGCAGGAAATTGTGCCAGGGACACCTGAGCGGCCCTGCTGGGACAATGGCACAGCCGTGACTGGGGGACACCTGGGCCAGGGTGGGCTGGGAAGGGTTGGGGTAACCCCCACACCGGACCGTCCTCCCGGGCAGCCACGGCAGCCCCTCACCCGTGAGCTTGGTGTACTTCTCGTTCTTCCTCTGCTTGGCTGTGGCCACCTGCTTGTCCATCAGCGTCTCRTCCACCTCCACGCAGGGCGGGGCGGGGTTCTGCGTCTCCAGGTAATCCACCTCCCGCTCCAGCCGGTCCACACGCACGGCCGCGCTCTCGGCCTCCGCCCGCATCGCCTCCCGCTCCTTCTCGGCCGCCTCCAGCATCCCCAGCACCTGGTTCTTGAAGTCCCGCAGCTCCGTGGAGTAGCGGCTGCTCTGGTCGTGCCACTGCGAGATCCTCTCCTGGGGTGGCCGAGGGGTCACTGGGGTCTCCAAACCTCCCAGCCCACCCACAGCGGCTGTGCCAGCCTGGATGTGCCACAGGAGCCCCCGGAGCCACACGGGGCTCGTGTCTCTGGGTCCCATCCCACCCTATTCCCGCTCCTGTGCTGCTCCCAAAACCACAATGTTCTCGTGCTGCTTCCCTGATGTTCCCAGAGCCAGGCTGCCCATTCCTGCAGTGCTCCCATGCTGTTCCCAGACCCACAGTGTTCCCACTCTTCCATGACGCTCACAGATCCACCATGCCCCTGTTTCTGTGTTGCCCCTATGATGTCCCCAGACCCACAATGACCCTGCTCTCCCGTGATGTTCCTATTCCTGTGATCCTGATTCCGTGGTGCTCCTGGACTCATAATGCTCCCCACTCTCCCACAATGCCCCAAATCTTCAATGCCCCATTCCTGTGATGACCCCATGATGTCCCCAGACCCACAGTGTTCCCTCTCTTCCATGACACTCACAGACAGACCCACGATGTCCCCGTTCCCGTGTTGCCCCCATGATGTCTCCAGACCCACCATGCCCCCGCTGTCCCRTGATGTTCCTATTCCTGTGATGCCTCATGGTGTTCCTGGACTCACAGTGCTCTCCACTCTCCCAAGATACCCCAAATCCTCAATGCCCCATTCCTGTGATGACCCCATGAAGCTCCCAGACCSACAATGCCCCCRCTATCCYGTGATGTTCCTATTCCTRTGATCCTGATTCCRTGATGTTCCTGRACWCACAGTGCTCTCCCACGATGCCCCAAATCTTCAATGCCCTATTCCTGTGTTGCCCCCACGAAGCTCCCAGACCCACCATGCCCCCCCTGTCCCCTGATCTTCCCAGACCCCTGATTTTTTATCCCCGTGATGGTCCCATGACGTTCCCAGCCCCTCAGTGTCCCCACTCCCACCATCCGCCTGTCCCACAGCTCTCCCACGCCCACCCCGCTCCGGTGCATGCTCCTGCTGGGCTGTGCAGGGCACCAGGAGTTCCAGGACACCCCACACTCTGCCCCGTCCCCATCCCAGCTCCTGCTCAGCCCCGCTCCCAGCCCCGCCGGCCTCCACGGACAAGGGTGGGGATCGGGGCTGTGGGGAGGCTGTGGGGAGGCTGTGGGGCGGCTGTGGGGTCCTGCTCGGGGCTGTACCTCCAGGAGGGTGAGGCGGCGCTCCACGTACTCCATGAATTGCTGCTGCTGGGCGCGCAGGGCCGGGGCGAGCAGCGGCAGGAGCAGCAGCCAGGGCCCCATGGCCGCAGCGACAGCGGCTCCACCTCAGTGCTCAGGAATGCTCCGGCCTCCCCGGCCCTTATTGAATCCAGATGTGCCGAGGGAGGAGAGGCTGYTCCTTCCCCGCAGGCCAGCCCCGGGCGCTTTAACCCCTTCGTGCCCCAGCGGTGCCCCCGAGCCGCGGGATGGGGCAGGAGCCTGGGCTCGGGCTGGGTGTGGGGTGCGGGAGAGCCGCAGGAACCCCGAGMGAGACAAGGACATGTCCTCATGAGCCGTAGTGCGGGGACAGCCCGCGGGACAGCGAGGGCACTGCCCTGGCTCCTGGTCCGAATTGATGCCCAAGGCCAGCGGCCAACCTGAGCTTCGGCCATGTCCAGGTGTGGTGGAGGCAAAGCCAGACCAGCACCGTGGGCATCTGTGTCCCCCAAGCCCCTGTCCCCTCTGATCCCCTGTCCCCTCTGATCCAGTGTCGCCTGAGCCCGTCCCCCTGATCCCGTGTCCCCTCTGTACCGTGTCCCGTCTGTACCCCTGTCCCCTGATCCCGTGTCCCCTCATCCCCTGTCCCTCTGATCCCGTGTCCCCTCTGTACCCGTGTCCCCTCTGTACCGTGTCTCGTCTGTACTCCTGTTCCCTGATCCCGTCCCCCGGCTCCCCTGTCCCCCTGATCCCGTGTTCCCCCACGTCCTTGCTGTTGTCCCCGCAGCTCCCCCGCGCCGGGTCCCGCAGATGCCCCCGGGCAGAGCCCTCGGGGCCGGGGCTGGGCCGGGGCAGGACGGTCACTGCCCTCAGCCGCTCGCTGCCCTTCGAGCTGGCCCGAGCCCGGTGCGGGGACATTCGACAGCTCCCATAGTACCGGGACGTGGTCAGCGCAGGTGCGATGTGATGGAMGGACGGACGGRYGGACAGATGGACGGACGGACACCGCAGCTCTGTGCCCCGGACGCAGCCGGGCCGGGCGGTTCTGCGGGCACCGGCCGTGGGTCCTGGGCCGTGGGCAGGGACCGCTCGGAGCCGCGGTGCTGCAGCGGGGCGAGTGTGCCATCTAGTGCCGCTGAATCCGCGACCCGCATCCCGGATCCGCATCCCAAATCCACATCCCCGATCCGCATCCCGGATCTGCATCCCAAATCCACATCCCCGATCCGCATCCCGGATCTGCATCCCAAATCCACATCCCGGATCCACATCCCCGATCCGCATCGCAAATCCGCATCCTGCATTCACATCCTGGACCCGCATCTCGGATCCACATCCCGGATTGCATCCCAAATCTACATCCCGCATCCACATCCCAAAATCCACACCTTCGATCCACATTCCACCCCCCTACCCTGAACCTGCACCCACACCACTGACACCTCATCACGGATATCCCCAAAACCCTCTCCTACTCCCCTTAACAGACCAAGCGACCAAATGAATAGAGTACAGAAAATTAACCCTTTTTATTGATGCATTGCAATTGTTCTACATTTTTACCATATTATGTAGAAAATACTTAAAATACAAGCTACTTTGTAAAACCAAAGACAAACATTGAATCCAAAGATAAACTATGTTTTCACAATGGACCCTTCTCCCATATAGTTAGTATTAAATTTTTAAATATCTATTTCTTTTGTTAAAATGATTTTTACATACCCCCTAAGTACATCAGCAATACAAACATAGATCAGTAATTGTCAGAAACTACCTGTATCTAGCGGCTTGTAAAAAGGAAGAGCACAACCATAAAAGAAAGTTAAATTTTACACAGTAACTAGCATATCAAATACATTTAATAAAGTAGGAATTCCATTGCAATATCAAGGATTCAAGCAGAAATACTAACATTACATATAATGTACTGCTACATGTAGTGAGATAGATATAGTTCAAGCTGAATCTGAAATCACACATTATATAAAGTTTAGCAACAAACAACCATGTGGACATGCGGCACCATTCAGAAGTTTAAATAAAATTTAAAAAAAAAAAAAGAACAAGAAAAAAGCAGGGCTGTGCCAATCCTGTCATTTAGAAGCAATTTAGTTTCATGTACTAAAAGAAATTGCTGAGTCAGAGGTAAATTACTGCATCCCATCAACTAGGTGCTAAGCAGGAAAGCCTCGGGAGTTGCCTCTGCAGGGGCTATCACAGCTGCAAATACAGGTCAGATAAGTGAAAACTGATTGAACAGCTCAAGAATCACACAGACAAACCTAGCTGGGACCACGGTTATCAAATATTCCAAAGGTGGGTCCCAAACTAGCTGTAAAGAAAATTAAAGGATGCCAATTCCTATCCAGAGATAGCAGATTCCTCTCCAAAGATGTGTAGCGGATTCTGACAATGAGGAGAGTCAATTCTTGAACCAAATTTGAGGCTGGATATGCATGGGAAGAAGGGATGTACCTCCTTAGAGCAGAACACAACATACCTAAATCGGGCATCACGTACTGGGGCCAGACTGGGAAGCCCTGGCCCTGCTGGGGTGAGGTTTGCTGTGTTTCACAGAGGAATTTTGGGGTGTTATTTGACAGCTTGTTCCAAATGGAGCACGTTTGATTTTACCTACATCATTTCCACCTCACCCTCCTTGTTCCAACACTTCTGGGAACTCGGGCAGTGGAGATGACACCGTGCTTTGGGAATACATTTGATTGGCATTAATCACATTACAAGGTCTCTAAATGGATATTTTAAGCTGTTTTTTTAGGGAAATGTGGGCAAGTTCTCGAAATTATTAGCAGATTTTGCTAGAGGTCTTTTTTTCTTTTTTTTTTTCCTGTTAGTGAAGAGTTTTCCATCAAGTCCTATTTGTGAAACAGGGAGTTGGAGATCTGTTTGCCTTTCAGTGGAAAGGCACAACTCTGTACCCAAGAGGTATCTCAAGGCAAGTACTGAACACAAGCAATGTCAAAAAAAGCAAGAAAAGTGCCTACAGCAAAAAACAGCATCGTCTGCACAACGATGTGGCATAGCAAGGTTGGTTTTTCCGCACGCTCACRGAAGTGCTCTGACTACAAACACACTGAACATCAACGTGGGCTAATGCTACCGTCCAGTTCCACAGGCCTCCATCCCTCCTCAGGCCACCAGCTCAGGCCAGTCCAGGCTTTTTTGAATCTTTCTGCATTCTGGGTTTGCAGAAATGCCTCTGGTTGGGACTGGCCCCCTTCGCACCGGGACGGAACATAAACTGGGGTTCAAGGTTACCAAACCTCTTATTGCTGCAGTAACACGACTGCTCAGACCAGTTTATATCATCCTTTTGGACGAGATACTTTAYGTGTTAGATGAGAAAGAATTCCTAGTACAAGGGACCCAAGAAAACAAAGCGTAGTCCAAAACCTGCACTGATTATCCAAAGTGAGTATTTCCTCTGAACACTAACTAGGGCTACAGCTGACAGACCTTCCCAACAACTCCACATTAGCAGTAGCATTATAAAACTTTTTAATGGTATTATGTGCTTTACAGCAGGCTCTCTTTGGTATAAATATTCTATCACCAAGCTAGCAATATTTTACACGACACGTCTGCTATTTCCTGTGGGGGAAGGTAACGCCACACTAAACCTAATAAAAGTGATTGCACGTATTTAATCACTTCTGCAATATTAGACTAAACATTCCAATGCATTCCCAGCACTACCTTATCCGAAATGCACTGACAGACACTAACAGTACATGTGCCATTTCAARGGGGGAAAAAAAGCTTCAAGGGGACGTCGCTTCACTGGGAACAAGAACGGAGCGTGGATGAGAGCGGTGACGGGGAGAGGGCTCTGCACCATCCTGCTGCTCTGGCTGGGGAAAGCTGGGTGGGTGAATTGCTTCAATTCGACGGGGGCTTGCTGGTCCCTCGTAAGGCAAGCTCACTGTAAACTCTAGTCACACTACATCATCATTTAAGGCACTACAATAAGGGGACACACCAAACAACTCTTCATCACACATACCTGTGCAAAACAAATCCAAGGTATCCTTTCCTCTCGTGAAGCTCTACTCCTCTCTCAGTGCTACAGTGATGAGCTCTAACCATTGCATTATATCACATACATTCCAACATGAATCAATTCATTTTGGTTTAAATACAAAGGATACAACACTTCCATCCCCAGGAACGTTTAAGAATTAGACAAACACTAAGTACAGAGTTCAAGTATAATCACTACACATTTTGATTACAAAGACAGAACATTTGGGGTTAGCAGGAAGTTTTGCTTGTTATATTTTTCTAATCAATATGTACATATTTCATTTTCTGTAAAATATTAAAACACCACCAATACAAAACTTCTAAAATAGTTTTAAATTCAGTAATAAACTTTAAAATCTGGATTTTTTTTCCTTTTTTTTCTTTTTCTTTCTCTTTTTTTGTCTTGTTTTTTTTCTGTTGGTTTTTTGTTGTTGTTGTTGTTGTTGTTGCAATTCCTACATGCACGTACTGTTTACAAGTCTTATTAAGAGCGCTTTAGAGTAGCTGCTGACATATCCAGGAGGATACGCTCACAGGAGTATAAAAAGCTGTACACATCAATACAGTGATGTTTCATTGGATTTCAAATTCATCTCCCTCCTAAAATGAATCACGTGAGGCAAAATATTAAGGAAAAACAGAACAAAGCAAAGCCCTGTGCTTCTGTGAAGGAATCCAGCTCCATTATAGGGCCAGCATCTAATAAGCTGCAGAAACCAAATTTTAGAGCAATGCTGCACTATTCACTCTCAACTGGAGACAACAACAACACCCTGACAGAGCTGCTGAGCTCTGCCACACAGTGAGATCCTGAATACAGTTTGAACCACTTAGAAGAATTCTGCAACGAACACAACAGAAATTCAGCTGGGTCACGGAAAATTTTGGAGAAAGCAAAGCAGACGCCAGGGTTTACAGGACTCCTGAATGTATCRTGTTGCTGGTATGAGGCAGCTGCCTCTACCAGTCCTTAAACAAAGCAGAGGAGTAAACAAAACACCTTGCACAGAAACATAGATGGAGATGTAATGGCTTTTGCAGAACCAGCAATTAGTTAAAGACAAAGGGAATTGGAAAACAGATGTTAAAACRGTAAAATCTGAT